TTTCATGGAGCGCTAAGAACCTTGAAGAAGGGTTTTTTTTCCTATTTGAAAAAAATAGTTTAAGGATAAAATTGTCTCACTTATAAGTATAAGGATAAATTGCTCTTTTAAAAAAAGTTTAAGAGTAAAAATACACCTTAACTTATCATTTTTTTTATTAGTGATTAAGTAATCTTATTATAAATATTTTAGTTAACTTTTAAATTTTGATTTTTATTTTTAAAATGAAAATAATTAAATAAATAATTGAAAGTTGCCGGAAGTTATTTTTTTAGTGTCTTGTGAGCTTCACTAATTATTTATTTTTAGAGAGATATAAAAATGTATTTCTAATTTCCTCATTAATTATCTTATTTTATGGATGAATACAAAGTCCTTCACAAATTTTTCACAAATTTTCTCATTTTAAAGAGGAATGACTATATTGATAGTTCTTGGCTAATTTTTTTTTTCTTTTTGCTAATTTTAAGTTGAGTTACAAAATTATTCTCACTAATTTGGCATTTTAGAAAGGAACAAACGATCCATCGCTAATTCGCACTTTTATCTCATAGTGTAATTTTTAAAATTTCATATGAAAAGATCAATGTAGAGAAAAAAAATTAATGTTAACAAAGGGACTCTAAGTCAATTGATTTTATGAGATGAACTTTGTAAATGAATTCATGAACTTTTACTTATGATACCAAACATACTCTTAGATTGGTGCATGGTCAATGTAGTATTGCATGCCAAATTTTTTGTTGGTTTTACATATAAACGTGACATTGATTATTTGAATTTGGTGCTTATTTAGAAATCAATATATTTTGGACTATCAAAATTAAAAACAAACATTAAGTTTTATTTTATTTTAATTTGTATAATTCTAAAATTTTTATTTTTATTACTAATAAAAAAATTTGAATATTTTATTTAAATTAAATATTCATTCTATTTATTTAAACAGAAAAATAACATTTTAAGTTGCATGAATTTGAATTTAGTCAGTGGTCATAGTACACTCACTTAATGAGTGTCTTAAGTATAATTGTTGAATTTTATCAATATTTAAAAATTATTAAGATATATTTTTCTTTCAAAATTCAAGACAATACTCACGATCAAACATTAATTGCCATTTGATTAAATTAAAATGTTGTTGTTGTATCAATAAAATACTCATTAAATGAATAGACTTAATCAAGATACTTACTGGATTCAAATCCAGTACTGTGCCGTTCGAGACTTTCGTCTTCTTCCTTCCTACATGGTCCCATGCATTTTCATCTTTCCCACTCTCACAAGACAGGACCACTTCTTCACCATTTCTCTTCTCATTCTTTTATTTTTTTTTAAATAATATTTTTGTTCGTTCTGTGGACCACGTCCATCGGCTATTCCAGGAATTGCACTTCTCACAATCTGGGTTTCTATAATAACTTGTTTATCAATTCTTGTAAATAGTATATGTTATATATATATATATATATGTCTAAGCTATGATAAAAAAATGTAAGATATTTTTAATATTTTAAGGTGTAACTAATATGTTTTTTAAAATACTCTTAATAAATAAATTATTTAAAGTTTATTTTTAAGTGAAGCAACTTATTAAATAAAGATAAATATATAAAGATGACATTAATTAGAAGGCATGCAGCTAAATAATTATTGAAGGTGTAATTTAATTAGAAAGAATCTTATATTTTTTAATATATGTAATTAAATATTTCCTTGCTCATACGGCTTTAGCCCCAAAACCCCATGGATCTCTCTCTCAAAAATAATAATTGTCCAATATTTTAACCCTAAACTTTCATGGTTCATAGGATGAAAGAGAATAAACACTTGAATTAGTGCTTGGGTCATTGTGAACAACAACGTAGTGTCATCTAGAGGCCCTCAAAGGTTCAGTCGTTAGAATCTGAGCACACGCCATGTTTGAAAATTGACTCATTGGGCTAATAAAACGGATCTATATTTCCTTTCTCAATTTCTTATATATTGCCTGAATCTCTACGTTTTTGTGAGAGAGACACAGAATTTACACACACCCACACATAATAGGGTTTCTCAAATTAATATCATCCTTCTGGATCGATCCCACCATTATTTTAATAAAAAAATCATTGAACTAATTGAGTCTCTCCAGGATACACAGCACCATTCGAATAGTGTTAAACTATGATACTTACAAATTATATTGTTCATTAACACAATTTAATTTAAACCCACATCTTTATAAGATATAAAATGTAAACATTGTCAACTCAATCCTTATTAACTTTTCTGTCCCTCAAAATTTGCAGCAGTAGTAATAGCAGTAATAGTAATAATAATAATAATAATAATAATAATAATGATAATGATGATGATGATGATGATGGTGTTGCAGGCTGGGCTGACCCACATCCTTCAAGTAATAAAGTTGTGAGTATCGTAAATGAACTAGTTTAATCTCGATCATTGTCTTGAATGTGATATAAAATGAAATAGTTTATTCTGATGTTACTTCAAATGATGTTGGCTTCAGAAATATTTATTGATTTGCAGCAATTATACCTTAGATGCCTCAGTATGACACATGTCTCTGAGAGGAATATTCTAAATCCCTATGACATCATCCCATTAAAAGAAAAATACAGTACTACTTCTAAAGGTGCGTACCTAACATCAAGTCCCTATTAATCAAATATATATTTGTCTAAAAACCGTTTAACTAGAGACTAAGCAAGTAAAGCGATTACGGCCAGCTAAAATAGGGGAAAAGTTTGATCAAAGCTATTAAAATGAGATTTTTAAATTTATATCTGTGAATAATATTTGCATGGCAGAAAGCATGTAAATTCTTCGCTGGGCATGGTCAAGGAAAAGACAAGCAAAAAATGAGTGCTTTCTTCAAGACTTTCCATCAGAAGCCATACACAGAGCGACTCCGCAGAGGCGCAATATTTTAACTTTACAAGCATTTTTAGATGAAGATAATTAATTGGGGACAGGAATAAATACAAGGACGGTGACAAGTTAACACAGATTATCTCTTATTTAGGCTCAAAAAAAAAAAACAGTGGTACAGGCTCGAGTTAGAGAGACTTGTACGCTTCTTAACTAATAAGACTGCAAGATGATTACGATATTTAATGACAGTGACCATGTTTCAATTTGGATCACCAAAATGGGTCATCATTCTGCAATTAGTGTGTCACAGAAAATGAGCTTAAGGATTAGACAATGGTGGAAACTAGGAAACTCTAAAAACGACCCCTCAACCTCTGGAGAGAACTAAAAAATGATCTGTCCTACAGCGTGCCATATTTTAAAGGCTCTTACCATATTGTGGACAGGAGCTTGTGAACTAGAGTTCACCACCTGCGCAGAGGCTAATGGCCTTTTTTAAATTTTTTGAGAACAGTTTTCTATTTTTTAAAAAAAAAACAAAAAAATTTTTTAGTAATGTGTTTTTAAAAAGTATTTTGAAGAACAAAAAAAATATTATTCTAGAGAATAGAAAAATGAAAACAAATTTAGGTGTTCTGTGTTTATTGTTCTGGAGAATAAGGGAGAATGAAAAAAATACTTATTTTTATTATTTTTTATTTTCAAAATATGTTTTACAAAACACCACATCTTAACACAATAAAATAAAAACAATTTCAAATAACCCCTAAAACTCCCTCTTGAAACCGGAGAGGGGTCAGTAGAGTTTTTTTTTTTTAAGAAAATGATAATTAGAATCCCATAAAAATATTAATTATAATTACAACATTGAATTATTAAAATCCTAATAATAAATCATTATCATTATTTATAATTAAAAAATTATGAATAGACAATTTAAAATTAACAAAATGCATTTTGAATTATTTGTCATGCATGTCAAATGGAAATTTATGATACTCCGTTTTAAATCTTGATTTCTTTTTTTGTTAATATGTAGATAAATTATTTAAAAAATCAATAAAATGCATTTAAGAATTAGTTATGAATTACAAATCACCTATTTGTAATTTTTTACAATCAATATATAAATAAATTATTTAAAAAATTTATAAAAATATATTTTAAATTATTTGCAATTGAAAATTTATAAGAATTATTTATAAATAACAGTTAACCACTTATAATTTTTTCTATTAATATATTAAAAAATTGTGTGAGAAATTAATAAAAGATACTTTAAAATCTTTATCGTGTTTGTTAAAAATTTATAAAAATCAGATATAAATCTCCCATCAATCAACAAATGATACTTTATAGTAAAAATCATGATATGATATTTTTAATAATCAAAAGTTTATAATTATAATTAATGTTTTCACGAGATCTCAGGCAATCATTTTCCTTTTAAGAAAACACAATGGGGAGTTGTGAAATTTACCGTGTGCAAACCCTAATGATGATGGGTAAATTCTTAGGTTTTGGATGGGAAGTGGGTTTTAACGGCATGGTAAGAAGATATACTCCACGGAGTACGAGCCAGGTGAACTTTTGTAATTCACAGTGACTTTACAGGGTGTTTATGAGGTACTTCTGAGCTGAGCACACAGCACAGAATCATCCCACTTGTGGGTAGACCCAGTTTGGATCAGATGATACCAATTGTTTAGGTCAGTGTACCTCCCAAATCCCAAGAGAGGACTAGCAGCGTATAGGGTAGGGGTCCCACTCTTTATAGCTTAGGTTGCCTTGTTGTTTCAAAGTCAATCCGGGATTTGTGAAGGGGTAAAGCATAGAGCTGCCTTACCCCTTAGATTAGGGTACCTGTAGGAAAAAGCAGAGTTTATATTGCACTCTCTCCTAAAAAAAATAAAATATTTTTAATTAAATTTTACATGAGATAATTATTTATTTTTAAATTAATTTTATTTTTTATATTTATTTTTATTTAATATTATATAATAAATATAAAATATTATTAATGAGAATATTTTTTTTCTATCAATTTGATAGATAGCTACACCTCATTGGCATACATTATACTTGTCATCCCCTTCGCTTTTTCTTCATCTCTCTCTCTCTCAGTCAGAATCCCTCTCTCTCTCTCTCTCTCTCTCTCTCTCTCTCTCTCCGTTCCCTCTTTTTCATCAGTCACTTTCACTGCCAATACAATGCCTTCTCAGTCCCACATAAAACCCCATCTCTTTCCCTGTCTCTCTCCGCCATGATCAACGATTCCCACAGAAACTCGACTTCGACTCGTGGGTGAGTAGGAAAAATATTTGTTTGAACCGAGTTTGGTTTCCTCTCGTTCATGGGATCCTATGATCCATCAGGCGGCGCCGCCTCCTCCAATGGTAGTTCCTCGAGCTCTGGAACCAAGCCGGCGGAGATGGATGGTCTTCTAGCCGGCGCTGGATACAAGGTCAAGTCGTCGGAGCTCCGTCGAGTGGCTCGACGTCTTGAACGACTTGAGAATGTCATGGTCAACGCCGCTGACATTTCTCAACTTGCTTCCGATACCGTACACTACGACCCCTCGGATATCAGTTCTTGGATTGACACTCTTCTTACCGAATTGAACCAGACCGTTTCTCTGCCGTGTGATCTGTTGGAGTTGCCGGATCTCCCAACTTGTCCGTTGCTGGAAGAAACCACTGTTGATAATCGCTGGGTCATGGCTCAGAATGATCAGAGCCACCATAGCTTCACTCCTCAGACGCAGCAATTTCAGCAATTGACGGTGGTGACATCGATGGAAGAAAACTCCGGGATAAGGCTGGTCCACATGTTGATGACCTGTGCGGATTCTCTTCAACGTGGCGAGCTAGCTCTTGCCGGCTCGCTTCTCGAGGACATGCAGGGTTTGTTGGCGCACGTGAACACCAGCTGTGGCATCGGAAAAGTCGCCGGATACTTCATCGATGCCCTCAGCCGCCGGATCTTCGCGCCACGGACCATTGGCACTGGCTCCTCCTGCACCTGTTCGCCTTTTGAGGACGAGGTTTTGTACCATCACTATTACGAGGCTTGCCCTTACCTCAAGTTCGCTCACTTCACGGCGAACCAAGCCATCCTCGAAGCCTTTAACGGCCACAATTGCGTCCATGTGATCGACTTTAACCTCATGCACGGGCTCCAGTGGCCGGCCTTGATTCAAGCTCTGGCCCTCCGTCCTGGTGGGCCCCCCTTACTGAGGTTGACTGGCATTGGTCCGCCTTCTCCGGACGGCCGCGACACCCTCCGCGAAATTGGGCTGCGACTCGCTGAGTTAGCGCGCTCCGTAAACGTCCGATTTGCCTTCCGTGGAGTCGCAGCTTCCAGACTCGAAGACGTCAAACCATGGATGCTCCAGGTAAGCCCGAAAGAAGCAGTGGCGGTGAATTCCATCATGCAGCTTCACCGCCTCCTTGGATCTGACCCGACAAGAGAACCCGTTATCCAATCCGTCCTTAGCTGGATCCAAAGCTTGAACCCGAAAATCATGACAGTGGTGGAACAAGAAGCGAATCACAACCAACCCGGGTTCTTAGACCGGTTCACAGAAGCTCTGTACTACTACTCCACCTTGTTCGACTCGTTGGAGGCTTGCTCGCTCCAGCCGGATAAAGCCTTAGCCGAGATATACATCCAGAAGGAGATATGCAATGTGGTGTGCTGTGAGGGATCGGCTCGCGTGGAGAGGCACGAGCCGCTGGGTAAGTGGAGAGATCGGCTCACTAAAGCCGGCTTTAGGGCTCTACGCTTAGGATCAAATGCTTTCAAGCAAGCTAGCATGCTGTTAACTCTGTTCTCAGCTGAAGGTTATTGTGTGGAAGAAAACGAAGGATGTTTGACTTTGGGCTGGCATAGCCGACCCCTCATTGCTGCTTCGGCTTGGCAAGCCGCGCCAGAGTATGGAGTAGCTTAATCAAGTAACACAGGAAGGATTGTGATGTAAATTTCTCCCTTATGGTTAATGGTTATAGCCTCATCGAATACTTCTTCCTCTCACTTATAATTTCCTTTTTCCTTCCTTTATAACTTGTTTAGTGATTAATTTCAAATGAAAAAAAAAAAGAACAGATTAGAATAGCGCGATCTTGTCAATTTTCAAAGGAGAAAACTCACTTAAATAATTAAATGTTGACAAAAAGATGGTATTCCTGTTAATTACGAGGTGGTTGGAGGAGATTGTCAGGAAATAATTCAGATAATCTATTCTTAAAGGTTTGATCTTTAATTTAAATTTGAAATGGACGGGAAATAATGTGAGCCACACGAAGGCCTTTAAATCTGATACTATATAATAATATAATTGAGTTCTTAATCATGGAACTGATTGAAGGGTATGTTTCACCAAAGATCCAAAATGACATTGCAAATATTAATGCATTTGAATCAAGTTAATGAAAATTAGATTGGTTATTGAATTGATAAATGCATTGATTCAAATATTAATGATGATGCAAACCATAGGCAAAAAATCAATGTTGTTAAAACGGCCGGACCGGACGATCCGACCGGTCCAACCGCCACCCGCTGAAAAAAATGGTCTGGTTTAACTAATTGAACTAATCTGACATTTAACCTAGGTTGAACCGGCCGGTTTTAAAGAACCGGCTTTGACTCGGGAACCGGACTCAGGTCAACTCGGGTCAACTCAGTTCAAAGTCAAAAAATTAAAAAAATTAAGCTATGTTACTCAGATTCACAATTTCTCTTCTCTAATCACTAATTCTCTCTTTTTTCTCTTCTCTAATATCTAATCTCTCTTTCATGGTTCAAACTCAATCTCTAACTTCTCCTCCAACATCTGCCTCCAGCTCTAAAGATTTAACCTTTAGCATTGAGATTGAAAGCTTGTGAGTCATGGCATGACAATATGCCTCCAGGTCCAACATTTTCCTTTGAAATTACAAGCTTGTACTGACATGCTTCTATCTCTAGCTCCAATAATCCAAGTATCTAGCTTTTGGGGTTGAGGTCCCAAGCACCATTAACAAATTAATGTTTTATTTATATAATTGCACATATAAATTTTATTTTTATTTAATTTTTATGTCACCGGTTTGACCACCGGTCTAACCTGTTAGACCATGAAAACCGTGACACATTACTCTTTCCGATTTAATGTCTGGTCTGGGTTTCAAAATATTGCAAAAAATAAAAATCAAACTGATAATAAATAAATGTTATTAAATTAATTAAAATATTGATTTAATAATTTACTGATTTAACCAATGCGTTCAGGATCCAGATTTCTATGCTAATTTGAATTGAGGTTGAGGTTTCAATTCAGTGGATTATTGTGTATTGAGGGGATGGGGTCAGTGTTGATAATGCAGTAACTTTCACAAGGCCCTTCGTTTTTTCCCCCCCTTCTTTTCTGGCGTTCTATATTTGGTAAAAGCGTCAGAAGCACATAGGCAAGTAAGTACAAAGAGGGGGGGCTATAAAGGGATAAGTTTGAAGGAAGCTACTTTCTTCCGTAATATTTTAAAACTAAAATATTTTTAAAATTATTTTTAAAATAAGGTGAGAGGAGGAATCTTTTATTTTTAAAATTATTTTTTATACAATAATCTAGTACATAGTAATATTACAACAACAAACCTTGTATTAACTATATGAATTGTAAGATGTATTGTATTTTATTATTTATCAAGTTTTTAAAAATATTACTAAAGTACATAATAATATTATTAGATTATATTTAAAATAGCGAATACTTTCTCCCGCGTTCACCATTGCCAAACCACCAGTGATATTGAAGACGTAGCCTTTGAATTCCTCACCCATAGAATCACCGTTGACATTCTGTCAGCTACGCTTGTAGCAAAAAGCTCGCAGCTTCTGATCGTTATCGATCTGATCTCCAGCTTCTTCTGGCAACCAGAGTTGAACTTAATGTTGTCATATCCACTCGCTCCAGCCGCGCAACGAACTCTCAGTAAGAGCGTCGACCACTTCGAATGGGCGCCTGGATTGTTTAGATCTAGTTCAAATAGTTTAAATTTTATAATATTTTATTCAAAAAAATAAATGCAGGTTTTCGTTTATGCTTTTTTTAAAATATAATCACTTTAATTAAATAATATTTCTTCAAAAACGTTACACGAACTTTGCATATTTTTATAGATGCCCCTAGATTTTGTATCATAATTAAAAATTTTTAACGTGAAAATAAATAGGTGAGATGATAATAGAACCCAAAACATGGAATTCATGATATAGTTAAGTTCCAGACAAACTTTTTTAAAAAATAATTTGCAAATATTAATATAAGTAGTTGCAAATAGGAATATCAATAACAAATTGAGAGTTATATTTGCAGTTTTCACAAATTGATAGTTATATTTAAAATTTAAATGCCTTATTTGTAGTTAGAATTTCAGAATTTATGACCATGTAAATCAATATTTACAATTAATTTTTAAAAAATTTTGTCGGAGATTTAATTATCATAAATTTATTGTTGTGAAACCTTAATGTCATTATCCTAAAAAAACATAAGGGCCCTTCGTTTAAACTTTTTTTTTTATGTAAACATAATTTATTTTCGTTAAAAAAGAAGTCTATTTCATGATATTTTACCATATTTGTTTTAATTTTTTAGAATAACCAAAATCATAAAAATGTATATTTTTTATTATTTTGAAGAGTGACTTTGATCTAAAAATGATTTACAGCTGTAGACGAAAGTTTATACCATAAGAATGGGGAGATATCAAAAGATATCATAAAATAAGAAAAAAACATTCCATTTTTATAAAAACAAAATAATTTTTTTTATAAAATCTTCAAACTATCTAAAATTTTTTTTATTCTTAAACAAAGAGTTTTAATATATATATATATATAATTTATTATATTTTTATTATCATTTCTTAATTATAACTATTTTTGCTTTTTAAAACATTTACTTCCTCCATTCAAAAATGTTTGACATTTTTTGAAGAGATAGATGTTTAAAAATATAAGACATTTTTTATTTTTTAAGGTGCAATCATTGCCTTATTTTTTTTCAAAAGTGTTTTATTGATAATAACTTTATATTTATTGTAAGGTATTTAATAGGAGTAAATATGAAAACATAGGGTTAATTTGAAAGTAGGCAACTACTTTATTGAAAGTAATATTTGATTAAAAATATCTTATATTTTTTAACGGAGAGAGTATCATCTAATAATAATGCCATGGAGGTTAGTTGGGGCTAACACTCATCAATCGATTTCTATATCCACAAAAGCTTGAACTTTTGGCTTTGTTTGTAAGAAATAATTAATTATTTTTATTCAACTATATGGCCATTAATTTTTTGTATTCTTTTGTTTCTAATACATTTTTGTAATATGAAAAGGTTGACAATATATATTTAATTAATAATACTTAACAACAATGCATTTTTAAATTAAAAACACTAGCATTACTTCTTTTATTTTTAAATTTTAATATATGTACATCAACTGAGTTATGATTGTAAAGGGAAAATAGAAATGATTATGGTTTGCATAAGTACAATTAGAAGGGTTCAATTATCTCCTTAAACAATGTAAATGGTTTTCACCCTTATGGTTAGAAAAAATGATGTTGAAAAAGCTATTTCCAATATAGATTAGATAATACTCAAATTTTTATCTGGTAATATCTGATATCAAATAATTTTTATTTTAAAAAAGAAACTTTACGAAAGGAATGAGTGAGTATAAAGCAAGTGAAGAATTTATATTCTTATATATATATATATATATCCAGTATATTTTTGGATCAAGTGAATCCTTATTAAAGGAAAAGAATTTGTAAGAAAGAAAGGAGTGAGTGAGAAGCAAGTGACGAAGAGGAGAAATGAGGGAGAAAGGAAAGAAAGAAGCATGCGGGAGAGGGCCATCAATATTGGATGGAAATAAAGACTTTGTGTTTAAGGAAAAAGGGACTAGGCAATTGTCGTCAACATGTGCAAGCCGCAGGTTAAAGTCCACCTGCATGCATCTTCTTTCTGTTTTTTTTTTTTTGAAAGAAAATCTATTTCTTATTTAAAATTTGGCTTTAAAATCTAATTTTACTCTCAAACTACATCGTCATTGCATCCAATGTTCTAAACTCCACTTTGGTTCATTCTTGCTTTTAAACATTTAATATCACATTATATTTTGGCACCTACTGTTAACTAAAGCTAAGTTTGACTGATTAATAAATTTTGTTGACTTAAAGATTTCCTTTGTCATCCACCTTAGCAAATGACTTAGATTTCTTTTTGAGATGTTACTCTCTCTCCCCCTATTGTTAGATACATAGAAGAAATAAGAAATGTTATTAGAGACCAATTGCCAAGATGAATGTGTTGCTAGATTGTTTTGTTTTTCTTTTTCTTATTTTTTAATGTCTGAAAAAACTTTTACATTTACTTCGATGGATTAGAGTGTGAAAAAATTTATATTAAATAATATTATTTAAGTATCTACAAATTTTTTAAAAGCACTTGCTTTTATCCAAACATGTTTTTTTAAAAGCCAAAAGATGTTGCGCATGGCTCATTTGATGGTGTAAGAATATAATTTGATGGAGTGATTCCTAGATTTGTAACAAGATGCACCATTAAAAGTGTTGGTTAATGCTTACTCCACGATTATTGGTAATGACTTCTAGCAGGAGTTAAGAATGGCACAATTAGATTATGAGCATCTTTTAAGAGTCCAAGAAGAGATAGAGACGAATTAGACTATGGATTTTAATTTCAGTGAAGATAGGTTTGTAGTGTATTGGATCAGGATGTGTGTGCCTAGTGATAATGATATGAGGAAAATGATCTTTGGTGAAGCTCATTGTAGTAAATGCACAATCCACCTCAAAGCTATAAAGATGTATTAGGATATGATGAAGTGCCACTACTGGTGGCTTGACATGAAAAGGGATGTGGCTAAGTTCGTATCCCGATGTTTGACTTGTTAGAAGATCAAACATTACTAAAAATAGGCTTTGGTGGCGTTTAAAATTTTAG